ATGGTTTCATGGGACATCCCAGTTAATTGGCCTAATATTTTGTTTAGTGCATCTGTTCTACTTCCTAGTTTGCTGCGTAGTGCCTGGTGTCTTAAAACTTGCAAGTGGGCATTTCAAGGTACAACAATCAGTCTCTATTGCCTGGAGCAACAGAGGAAGAAGAAGAATCTGGAGGAAGAAATGTACTGTGGCTAATTGCCTCCATGAACAACTGAATGGTGCCTGGTTACCATTACTGAACTTTTTGGTCAAAGATTCTATAGAATAATCCTGATCAAAAGGGGGGAGATGTGGAATAGAATTTCAAATTCTCATGGAATCCAGAATTTTTCTGGAACCATTGAGGCTGGATGAACCCCTGAAACTATTGCCCTGTGATAATCTTTAAACCTTAAACCAAAAATATCCCCTGAAGTGTTCTTAAAGCCAAACAATGGTTTAGCTTAACTAGTAAAAAATGTCTGCCTTGAGCACCGTGCTCTTTTAAGAACTATCTATATGGGATCAAATTGACAACAGCAACTCGAAAGATTACAGAGGAAACTTAGAGGGCAATGAGTTTATGTTAATGGAGGAGGAACATTTGAAAAAGGAGGTTGAGAATGGTTGCATAACTTGAAAAATGTAATCTATGTTACTGAATAGTACATGTAGAAATTATTGAATTGGTATATGTTCTGTGTATATTGTTAACAACAACAAATAAAGTAAAAAAATTGTCGGAGAGATGGCATTTAAAAATATTATGAATACAGTGCAAATGGATAACTAATTCCAAATGATTTACAGCATTGTTTGAAGTTCAGTAAAAATTTCTTTGAAAAATAATAATCTTCTTCCGGGTATTTTTGTTGTTGTTGTGAAAATATATATACCACATTTGCTAATTCAACATTTTTCAGGTGTACAATTTAGTGATATCAACTATATTAATTATGTGCAATCACCCATAATCATTGCTAAATTTCCCATTGTCATAAAAATCAATGCTTCCTAAACAATGGCTGCCCCTTTCCTCCTCCTCCTGCCTGTGGTAACCACTAATAAATTTCAGTACCTATACATTTGTCTATTCTTGTTATTTCATATAAGTGAGATCATACAATATTTGTCCTTTTCTGATTGACGTATTTCACTTTAGCATAGGGTTTTCAAGGTTCCTTCATGCTGTAACATGTATCAGGACTTAATTTTGCTTTATGGCTGAGTAGTATTCCTTTGTATGTGTGTACCACATTTTGTTTATCCATTCATCTGTTGGTGGGCATTTAGATTGTTTTCATCTTTTGGCTATTGTGAATAGTGCTGCAATGAACATGGGTGTACATATGTCTGGTTGCCTTGCTGCTTTCAGGTCTCTTGAATATATACCTAGGAGTGAAATTGCTGGGTCATATGCTTAACTTTTTGATGAACTGCCGAACTGTTTTCTACAGTAACTGTACCATTTTACGTTCCCAACATCAATGGACAAGTGTTCTAATTTCTCCACATCCTCGCCAACATTTGTTATTTTCTTTTTTGTTTGTTTTTTATCTTAGCAATCCTAGTGGGAGTGAAGTGATATCTCACTGTGGTTTTGATTTGTGTCTCTCTAATGGCTAATGATGTTGAGCATTTTTTCACTTGCTTGTTAGCCATTTTAATGTCCTCCTTGGTGAAATGTCTGTTTAAGTCCTTTGCCCAGTTTTTGATCGGGTTGTTTGTCTTTTTGCTGTTAAGTTGTAGCAGTTTTGTATCTTTTGGACATTAGACCCTTGTCAGATATATGGTTCCTAAAGATTTTCTCCCAATCTGTAGGTTGTCTCTTTCCTTTTTTGATAAAGCCCTTTGATGAACAAAAGTATTTAATTTTTATGAGGTCTCATTTATTTTGTCTTTTGCTGCTCATGCTTTTGTTATAAAATCTGATAATCCATTGTTAAAAACTAGGCCCCCATACATACAATGGTATACTAAACTATAAGGAAAAATGAGTTTCCAAAACATCTTGGATGGACCTGGAGGGCATTATGTTGAGTGAAATAAGTCAATCACAAAAAAACAAATATTGTATGTTCTCACTTTTATGAAATTACATGAACAAGTAAATACACAAAAACTAATGTTCATTAGTGGTTACCAGGAATTGGGGCAGGGAATTCACTGTCTAGATAGGAGGCACTTGTTATTTTTGGTGATGGGAAAGGTAACACCAATTGGAGGTGAAGTGTAAATACACAGCTTGACAAAGATAAACAATGTCATTGAAAAAGTACACAAGAAAAAAGACCTGTTGGTAATTGCTATGACATACATGATTTTGAAACAACAGCAAAAGCAACCAAAAAGTATGTATGGGCATATACATATCTGTGTAGGTATATATGTGTTTACCATAAAACCAAACCCATTGTCATCAAGTTGATTTCAACTCATAGCAACCCTATAGGGCAGAGTAGAACTGACTACTACATAGGGTTTCCAAAGATTTTTCCGTAAATCTTTACAGAAGCAGACTGCAACATCTTTCTCCCACAGAGTGGCCGGTGAGTTCAAACTGCTGATCTTTTGGTTAGCAGCTGAGCACTTTAACCACTGAGCCACAGGGCCCCTTCATATATGTGTATAAAAAAACAAACCAAACCTGTTGCCGTCGAGTCGATTCTGACTCACAGCGACCCCACAGGACAGAGTAGAACTGTCCCATAGGGTTTCCAAGGAGCAGCTGGTGGATTCGACCTGCTGACCTTTTGGTTAACAGCCAAACTCTTAACCACTGTATCACCAGGGCTCCTCATATATGTGTATAAATATATATGTGTGTGTGTATAGGTATATGCATATGCATGTTTGTGTCTGTATGCACACATATATATATAATAAAGCACATGGGGGCACAGTTACAGATAGTTCTTAGACATAATGAAACACCTCATGGGATTGGATTTATGGATTTGGATCCATAAATTAGGATCATAACCACGTGGGATATGTTGGTCAATAGGCATAATATAGTTCATAAAGTTATGTTCTACATTCCAATTTGGTGAGTAGTGTCTGGGGTCTTAAAAGCTTGCGAGCAGCCATCTAAGATACAGCTGTTGGTCTCTACTTGTCTGGAGCAAAAGAGAAAGAAAAAAACCAAAGACTCAAAGAAGAAGCTAGTCTACAGGACAAACAGTCTACAGGAACCATGACCTCATCTACACTGTGATCAGAAGAACTTGATGGTGCTCGGCTACCACTACCGACCATTCTAAGCAGGGCCATAATAGATGAATCCTGATAGAATGGCAGAAAAATGTGGAACAGAACCTCAAATTCCTAAAAAAAAAAAAAAAAAACCAGACTGGGTTGAGACTGAAGGATTCCCCAAGACTATCACCTTGAGACACTCTTCAAACCTTGAACAGAAACGAACCCCTGAGGTCACCTTGTAGCTAAATAACAAATTGGCTAAAAAAGTAATGAATATCTCTCATAAGTATTGTAGTGTGCTCCTTTAGAAAATGACCTCTATGAGACCAAATGGCCAATAATTACTTTGAAACAAACATGACAATGTAAGGGGGCAAGGAAACTAGATTAATGGAAATGGAACGACCAGAATGGAAATAATGAGAATGTTCACACATAGTGATGTAACCAATGTTGCTAAACAGCCTTTGTAGAAATGGTTGAATGGGAGCCTAACCTTCTGTGTAAACCTTCACTGAAAACACAACAAAATATTATTTTAAAAAAACTAGGCCCCACAGCCACATCCCTATGTTTTCTTCTAAGAATTTTATGGTTTTAGTTTTCACATTTAGGGCCTTGATCCACTTTAAATTGGTTTTTGTGTATGGGGTGAGGCATGAATCTTGATTCATTCTTTTGCATGTGGAAATCCAATTTTCCCAGCACTTTATGAAAGAGACTTTTCCATCTGCATTGAATGGACTTAGCACACTTTTCTAAAATCAGTTGACCATAAATATATGGGTTCATTTCTGGACTTTCAGTTCTATTGCATTGGTCTGTGTGTCCATTGTGATACCAGTACCAGACTGTTCTGATTACTGTAGCTGTAAAGTATGTTTTTGTCACACCCCACTGGCCAAGCAGCAGGAGTAGCTACAAGGAAGGGTCACAGGCTGGATTCCAAAAAAAGAGGCAGAAAAAGCCTGGCTGATTAGACAAGGCTTTATTAGGGAAGTTACATACAGAGGTTGATGCCAAGATTCTCGCAACGGACAGGGATGTGCTGAGTCACCCAGGCAGAGGTCCGCGTTGCGCGGTGTGTGGTGTGTGTTTATACACCCAATGCTTACATGCAAGGATACATGCAGGAGGACCAGGAAAAACATGTTAACCTATGATGGATGGGGTTGTTTTTGTACTAGTTAATGGGTTCCAGCTGACATGACCATGAAGTCAAATGTTTGGTTTTTTTTTTCTTGGCCCAGGTCACTACTCAGTCAGGTACTCTGGTTCTTCCCCAGAGTCCTTTGTGGATTAGCATCCATCTTCTATTGTTCAGAGCTCTCTCACTTTTGGAATCAGGACGTGTGAGTCCTCCTACTTTGTTCTCTTCATCAGAATTGCTTCGGCTATTTGGGGCCACTTCTCTATAAAACTGAAGATGGGTCACCTTATTTGACTTCAGCTGGAAATTTGTGCATAAAGCGACTCAAATTTTTCACCTTTCTGCACATGCACGTGTTCCGAATGGCCACGAAAGCACCGTGAGTATTGATTTTGGGGTTACTTAAATTTAGCAAGTAGGTGAATTTTCAAATATGGAATCCACAAATAAAAAGGATCAACTACTTCTGACCGGAGGTGTCTGGTGTGGCTGCAAGAAGGGAATGAAGGAGAATGGGCATGGGCAACGTCGAGAGACAGGAGCCCTGTAGTAATGACAGTGGTGACAACAAAGATATCAGTCCCCACTTACTAAGCACTTCCTGTGTGCTTCACTGGGAGAAAGATGTGGCAGTCTGCTTCCTTAAAGATTTACAGCCTTGGAAACCCTATGGGGCAGTTCTGCTCTGTCCTATATAGTGTCAGTATGAGTTAGAATCAACTGGACAACAGCAGGTTTTGGTGTGCTTCACACTGATATGTTGTTGAGAACCTTAGGTCAACTGCTAGTAAGTAGCAGATCTGTGATCTAACTGAGGTAACTGGCGTCAAATCTGACTCCCAAGCCCGTGTTCTCTCTACCACTTTGGAAGGGTGAAGGTGGCATGATGTGCTCCAGAATGGCGCCCTATCTGGTGAGTGTGGCTGAGATGGGTCTCTTTGAAGGACCCAGAAGGGAGGGAGAGAAGTGATGGGAGTGGCTGAGACCCTGTGGCAAAGGCCCTTACCTCATAGGGAGCTGGTTTGAACCACTGTAATGTGGGGTTGGGAGCCCTGGTGGCACAGTGGTTAAGAGCTCGGCTGCTAACCAAAAGGTCGGCAGTTCGAATCCACCAGCTGATTCTTGTAAATCCTATGGGGCAGTTCTACTCTGTCCTACAGGGTTGCTGTGTGTCGGAATAGACTTGATGGCAATGGATCTTTTTTTTTTTTTTTTTTGTAATGTGAAGTTGATAAGGATTAGGCTGATGGGCTCCTTCTTAAGTGACTGCAGCAGAGGGGAGGTCCAGGGAAGCCCCCTCAATCCTACAGGGTCCTCTGAGGTTGGCTTCTGTACTCCTTCCCTTCCCATGCCCTCAGGGGCCATCTCCGGTGAGGTAGGGTAGATGTGGGGATCTTGAGAAAGGAGTGTTAGGAAGGATAGCAGCAAAGGGAAATGGGACAGATTCCTCGTGTTCAGTTGACTGACACTCGAAGAGCTTGATGCTTTATAAGAGGAGGGGCAGCATTGCCCTTTCCAGCACTTGAACTCCCGTTTGTTGTTGTTAGCTGCTGTCCAGTTGGCTCCGACTCATGGTGTCCCTGTGTACAGCTGAATGAAATGTTGCCCAATCCTGCGCCATCTTCATAATCATTGGTATGCTTGAGTTCATTGTTACAGCCGCTGTGTGTTTTGAATGACTTCCAAACTAGAGGGCTTATGTTTCAGCACTATATTGGACAGTATTGTGTTGTGATCCATAGGATTTTTGTTGATTAATTTCCAGCTTTTCTTCCTCTTCTGTCTTAGTCTGGAAGCTCCACTGAAACCTGTCCACTACAGGTGACCCTGCTGATGCTTGAAATCCCTGTGGCATAGCTTCCAGCATCATAGCAACATGTAAGCCACCACAGTATGACAAACTGACAGACGGGTGGTGGGAACTCCAGTTTAGGATTACTCAATTCTGCACATTCCAATGGCCTCCAAACTGCTTTGAATAATTTCTTCAACACATTTGTTTAGCACCTGCTGTGTCCACACATTGTCGTAGACTCTAGGGATTTAACGGAGAGCAAATAGAGGTATGGTTTCTGTTTTCTGCTTCTTCTGGCAGCTTACAGTGGCAGGGGAGGGGAAGAGAGATAGACAAGTGGTAATTTGAAAATTGTAATAAATAGAAAATGGCAAACTGTGATGAGTGTTAGAAGGAAAAGTACAGGCAGCTGGTAAAGCATGTAACGGATTGTAAAACTACTGTTTTTAAAGAGTGATGAGTATAGTCAAAAAACAGAAAGTAATTCATAGAATTAGAATTAGATAGCTATTTTTGGGTTATTCAAATGTGCTTAAAGTTGGTTTTTGGTTCTCACAATCAACAATTCATAAAATTCTAATCTAAATAACCTCTACTTAGTCTACTTATTTCAAATTATATATGCTAATAAGTCAAAATTTCAAGTAGGCCAGGCTATTTAGACCTAAACAGAGAATTGAGCTTGATATTAATTACTGTGGTGGCTGGATCCTGTCCCTTGAGCCAGTACCTTGGAGACTTGGAAGATCTAGGCATTTATTCAGTAAATATTTTTTACCTTTGTTATGGAATTTCATTCTAGTGGGAGATATAAATAATAAGCAGATAATATACATGATGCAATGTCAGATAGTGATGAGGCTTATGAAGAAAAATAAAGCAGAAGAGTGACAGAGGTGCCAGTAGAATACAATGTCGGTGGCAATCAGGAAGGTTTTCCAACACCTGCAAACTGGAATGTACCCACCCAGATCAAGCCATAACGTCATGGCAGCAATAGTCAATTCTTGTGAAATGGAATCTTGTCTGAGTCTCTCATCTTGTAGCATTGCTACTTACCAAATTTCTTGCACAATCCTAAAAGTCACTTTGCAACCACATGATTCCAGGCCAGGAAGAAGGAAAGATTCAGATTCCATAGACTGAGGCTCAGCCCAGCCTCCACATCTAAGAACCTCAGCCCAGCCTCTGCCTCAGAACGCTCTAAGGCCACCTCAAGACCAATCACCTCCTTCTAAGCAGTTGGGCCCTAGTGGCCATCTGCCCCCAAATCTCTTTATACACATACAACTCTTCTAGAAGTTAGCACACTATCCTATGGGTAGTGGTTGGGGATGGGGGTGGGGCGGGATTTAAGCTCCTAGAATCCTTGGGACCACAACTGGGATTCTCTGGGTCTAACTGGAAGGCCTGGTATGACCTTGTTGACGGTCAGTCGTCTTTTTGTGTTTTTCCAGGGCATTTAAGATGCATTTCTTTGTCTCCAGCACCAAACTCTCCTCCTGGTTGCCTTCTTCATCCTGTTTGAACCCCAAATCTAACTCGTGTTCAATGTTCCCCTATAACATAAAATCAATTATTTTAAAGTGAACAATTTAGTGGCACTCAGTTCATTCACAGTATTGTGCAACCACCACCTCTATCTAGTTCCAGAACATTTTCATCACGCCAAAATAAAACCCTGTACCCATTAAACAGTTACGGATGTAACTGTATATCTGTCACCATTTCAACAGATGAAGAATCAAACTCTCAACTGCTCAATTTTAATATTTTTGTATGGAAGAAGGGACCCACGAAGGCAAAAGTGCCTAGGGCCCATGAAGGCTATATGCATTCCTGCCACCAGCATCCACACTGTTTGCAGAAATGCTTTGAAAATTGGAAGTTGAGTCACAGGGTCGGTGTCATACTTGTTCTTAAATCTTAAGTAAATTTTGTCCCCTAGTGGCAGTAGAGAAATCTCAGAAGAAATTAATGCCCAAGCAACAGCTGGAGTCCCTGGGTGGTACAAACAGCTAATGTGTTAATGCCTTAGCTGCTAACCAAAAGATTGGAGGTTTGAGTCCACCCAGAGGCACCTCGGAAGAAAGACCTGGTGATCTGCTTCCAAAAAATCAGCCACTGAAAACCCTATGGAGCACAGTTCTACTCTGACACATATGGGATCTCCATGAGTTGGAATCAAATTATGCTGAAATTATGCTGCATCAATTCATCCTCAAAATTTCGTGAGGTAAGCAATAGCCAAATGTACGAGGCTCTGTGTGGTTAAGTCGTTTAACCAAGGTCCCATAACCAGTTAGTGAAGAACTGGTTTCAATCCCTGGGCTGGGAATACAGCAGATCTTGTTTATCTGGATTTTCCACAGTTGAGATGAGTGACCCAAGCAGGTGAGAATTCCAAGCTATGCTCCTGGCTTTCCAGTCTGGAGACAGAGCAGAACCTTAGGAGAGTTTTGAATAATCAGCATCTTTTATACTGTCTGCATTTTTCAAAGCAGAGACTGTGCTTAGGATACTGTGATGAGGATTGTTTCTAAATTTATTAGGTTCTTCTAAGGAACTGCCATTTAGAAGTAGAGAAGAGATTTGGCTTTGATGTCACATTCACAGCTCTTTGGAATCACACAGTCAAAGAATCTATAGTAACAGGTATTCAAATATTTAAGGATGCAGGGGACATTGGTGATTCAGGGGCAGAATTCTCACTTTCCATGTGGGAGACATAGGTTCGATTCCTGGCCAATGCACTTCAAGAGCTGCCATTTGTTTGTTTGCTTGTTTGTTGCTATGATGCTGAACAGGTTTCAGCAGAGCTTCTAGACTAAGACAGACTAGGAAGAAAGCCCTGGCAATCTACTTCTGAAAACCCTGTGAATCACAACGATTCAATCTGCAACCAACGGTGCAGGACCGAGCAGCATTTTGTTTCATTGTGCATGGGTTCACCGTGAGTCCAGGGCCAACTAGAGGCACCTAACAACAACAACAATTTAAGGATGTACAGGGACATTTAATAGTTTTGTCACAAAGGTAGCCACCCTACTGAAGGTTTTATTCCCACTCTGCCCACATACTGCTGGTCTGCCTTGCAAAAGACACTGGCTGCCTTGCCAATCTTGTATATAGGAGGGGACATTTCCTGCTGAAGGAGGGGAAGCTAGTGCAAATGTTGATGGGTAGAGAGCATGTTTTAAAGTTTGAGACTCTGTTTCTCTAAAAACCATTCAGTTTGCCAGTTCTTTCTTTTCCTGTAAGCTTAGAAAAATAGGCTCTCTCCAACCCACCTACATTACAATCATAAGCACTGCCAATGAGGCTTTGGGGAGTTATCAATGGCAGTTGGAATGATTAGAATTTGTTATTGTCCAGTTGTTGTTATTGTTAGTAGCCGTGGCGTCGTCTCTGATTCATGACAACCTAGTGTACAACAGAATGAAATGTTGCCCAGTCCTGTGCCATCTTCAAGATCATTGGTATATTTGAGTCCATCATTGTGGCTATTTTGTCAGATCATCTCATTGAGGGTTTCCCTTGTTTTTACTGACGCTCTGTGTGATAGTTAAGGTTGTATGTCAACTTGACTAGGCCGTGATTATCAGTGGTTTGGTAGTTATGATGTTGTTTGGCAACTGTGTAATGATGTAATCACCTCCATAATGAGATCTGATATAATGTAATCACCTCCATGATGAGATCTGCTATGAGCAGCCAATCAGTTGAAAGGGAGTTTCCTTGGGGTTATAGCCTGCATCCAATATATGTGGACTTTCTGGCAAAGCTTGCTGGCTTTTGCTTGCTCTGGATCCTGCAACTGGCTCCTCATCCTGACCTCTGGTTCTTGGGACTTGAGCTAGCAGCTTACCTGCCCATCTTGGGATTCGTCAGCCTCCGTACTCTGAGAGCCAGAGGCCTGCTGTCTGACATGCTGATCTTGGGTTCTCTGCAACTCCATGAGTCAGGAGAAGTCTCCAGCCTGAGCCACAGACCTGGGACTTTCCAGCCTCTACACACATGTGAGACATTTCCTTGGTATAAATCTCTCTCTCTGTATATATATATGTATGCTTCACTTATTTTGCTTCTCTAGAGAACCCAGCCTAAGACACTCTGCT